CACACCTGACGAGAGCTCCTCTCTTGACAGTGATGAATATGGTCCCTATGCTGAGTCATGTTTTACATCAGAAATCTCAAAAGTAGTATTGGGTCAGACTCAACTTGCACTGCTCGACATTGATATGGTCGCAACGATGAGAGTATATGCATCCTCTGCTGCTAAACGTGCTGTGGTAGTCAAGGAAGACGACCTACTCACCAAAGCCGACATTGCAGCACACCCGAAAGAGGTTAGTGAAGCTTTGTACACTGAACTCAAGATCTGGCTCGACAATCGCTGCTTTGAGATGTATGATTTATCCAAAGCTTCCAACATCATGACATCCAGGTATGTATATAAGTGGAAGTTTGTTAAGACAGGTACCGAGAACGTTAAAACCATCCGTCCCAGACTTGTCCTTCGTGGATTTATGGACACTGCGGCTTTCGATGTGGAGACCTTCTCGGGGACCGCTCGAAGGCAGTCCCAGAGACTCCTAGCAAGTGAGGCGGCATGCCATCCAGAGTGGATCTTAGCATCCATGGATCTCGACAAAGCGTTCCTCAAGGGTTTGACCTATGAGGAACTTGCCCATGCCACCGGCGAGGAAACTCGCATGGTTTGCTTCACCCTTCCACCGGGAAGTGCCCAGGTACTTCGTACACTGCCTGGCTTCTCATCCTATGACGAAAGCCGACACTGCCTCAGGTGCCTCAAGCCAGGAACGGGTACAAAGGACGCCCCAAGAGCGTTCTCTCTCAAACTTCGTACGACCACACGAGCAATAGGCCTTGCACCGACAAGTTATGATCCTGAATTTGAATTCAGCCAAGACTTGCTAACGGCAAAACATGTCGATGCTATTAATATGACAGGCCTGGGGAAAAATATAGACGACTATGTACAACGTGTCGAAAAGGTGTTTGGCAAATGCAAGCTTAACAAACATTCATATACGAACTGCGCCGTTCGCTACACCAAGAATGACCAAGGGGATGTGATCATGGATCAGGACGAGTATATCAAGCAACTACGTCCTATCACACACCCAGAACTTACAGGAGCGGCGGCCGATGCCAAAGCCACCAAACTCATTACCGACATGTTCGTCAGCTTGCGAGGAGCCCTCGCCTATGCCCTTCTTACTCAAGTTTGGCTCATGGTATACGTGGTCTCTCTTCAGAAAATCCAAGAGCCCACCAACCTACAAGTCAGACGACTGAATGCTGCGACGCGAAAGCTGATCAGCAGCCCGAAACGCATCACCTTCCCTCGGATGAAGCCGACGAATGAAGTTGACATACACAGCGATTCAGGGCATCGGAAGCTCACCGGGGAGGAGAAAGATGAGACCAAGGGCCATGGCATACGCTGGGCCAACGTACTACGGCGAGGAAACTCGCCTCAAGGCAAGTCCGTCGTTCATCTCTGTGACGGACTATGCAAATCACACCGACTGCAGGTGAGGCCCAGCTATGCCGCGGAGGCACTCGCAGCTGCGCATAACCTCGATGAGTGTTACCCTACGCTCATCACTCTCCACGAGCTCAAGGCAGGGGCTCTGACTCCACGACAACTACGAGATATGCGTGAAGTTGGGGGCCTAGCCATTAAAGCATCTCTTACCATAGACGCTGAGTCGGTTTATAAATCGCTATCAAGCAAGGATCTTAAGATACCGACAGAACGGACCTTGCTTGGACATATCAGCTGGATACGTGAGCTCATGGATATAGGTATAGTGCATAATGTGCAATGGTGTGATACTAGAGATATGACCGCAGATGGGCATACAAAGGGAAGCATCGATCGGGAGCTGCTTTTGGAAGTGATGTCAGGCACTCAGTCATTTAAATATGACGTGAAGCAGTTTGTTCCCTTTCGGGGTCCCGAGGACAGAAACAAGCTTAAGTCTAATCAATTTTAGTCTGTCCTTGTTGTCCCCCGCGGTCCAATTTGCCAGCATGGGCGCCTACTACAGAGGCGCCCTTCTAGGCGCTCGGAAACGAGCCTTACATTTCACGCCTGGCAACGAGCCGGCTTTATGTGATTCAGGCAATTTGCCTTAATACCCGTTTGCTCGGTGAGGTATGGCCCGTTTGGCTTACCTCTAGCCGGGCCGATAGCCCTTTACCATTCAAGGGGCTGTCTTGTATTTGCGTGAAATGCCTTGCGAGGAAACTCGCCTTACAGTTGGTGTGAGGCCAGTCTGTACGCACTGTTTTCTTGCAAACAGTTGCGCGCGCGGCCTTTGTAGAGCCTAACGGCTGTGCGGCTATACTCTCCGTCTCCTCCCCTCCCGACTTTAAGGGTAGCTCTTTGGGAGATGTTATATAGAATCGGGAGTATAGCTCGCGCGCCGTTGCCTTTGGCTCAAGGCACGCGCGCCCTATTTGCCCGGACACTTACCTTAGTGTTCGCTATGTGCTGGAAAGACCGATACATCGATCTTATCCTATCTTACCCATCCACTTCCCATATCGTATTCCTTCGACATGGAATTGGATGCAATGTGAGCTCATCCGCCTCCCATGGAAACGGATGTTATTTGACCTACCAGGCTCACTTTCGACTCAGGGGAGCGGGGAGGGGGAACCCCATCCCCGAAGGGGAAGAGGGGCAGATGGAAGACAAAACACCCTAGACCACCTACGCTCTAAAGGGCTGGTGGGATTCCGACAACATTGGAGCGGCCGGTTTGGGGCTCTTTTTGGCTTCCGGGGCCCAGTGACCGTGGCAAAAAATGATCAGGGCACAAATTTGGCCTTGGGGAAACTCTGGGGGTCCATGCGTCGAAAAATCCGAGCGCCCGATGTCCGGGTCCAGACCAGGGGCAACGACAGGGGCGCACCTGGCCTGGAGCCAGCCCCCCCCCCTTGCCGTTACCGCATCGATTCTCAACAGTTTTCAGTGATTCAGGAGGGGAAAAAACACACAGACACAAGTAATCGTCGACCCCCAGGAAAATATAAAGGAACTATGGGAAGGGGGGGGAGACAAAAATCCAGAAAATCTGAAAAATAGTGGGGATCCTTGGTTTTGTGTCTATCTATTTGTGTGCCCCAGGGCCCCTTTAGTCATGTTTGTCGGTTCTCGGCGGTGTTCCAGCCTCGGGATGCGTACCAGCAGCTGCGCCTCGCCGAGAGCGATGCGGGGGGGGTCATGGTATCCCCGACCGGCCGCCAGGGATCTGAGCGGCACGACCCGGAAAAGACCACGGGGCAACGGCAGCAGAGGCCGGGCCCAGGGCCGGGGGGCAGCGACCCCGAAGCACCCACCCTTCGCCGATCGGGGCCTGAATTTTGGTCGGTCATGTCCCCCTACAGGCGGATTTTGGACGGAAAAAAGACCATACAAATATTCCAAAATAGTTTTTACAAAAATGCAAGAATCGTCCCCGGACTACTTTTGAACTATTTTTGGAGATTCCTTTTGTCGAGGGACAAGCCCGACTTGAGCCTGGGTGGCCTTGCCCAGGAACGTCACGCGGTCCTGCAAAAGGTGGCGCGTCGCCGATCTATCGGCGACGTATAGCCAGGCTAAGCTCGATGTCGCCCCCTTGGGCCAGTCTCCGCGTATCGTTCCCCCTCTGGGGTGGGACTGGGGTGCAGGCCTCATGTCGGGACCCCTTAAAGGGGGGGAGGCCGGTGGGCGGGTGTGAGTTCGATCGGTTTTTGCACCGAACCGTCCAAAACAGATGCCCCCCAGCCGCAGGCAGCTCCCGATAGTTGCGGATAGGTGGGGCATGTGGGGGCATCTGTTTGTGGCGGTTCGGTGCACCAACGGATCGAACTCATGCATCCCTTCAGGGTCCCCCACGTTTGGTAGATCCCGACCATGACGTGTTCGAAAAGATCGAGGCGACGATTTTTGTTAGCAGGTATTTCCGCTGCCCCGGGACCGTTTTCAAGCCAGGAGCCGTCAGAAACCGGCTCGTGGCGGAAAACGAAGATCAGGGTCGGGATTTCGGGGGTGGGTTGTTCTCGACCAGATATGGGCGACGGAAGAAAAATGGGCCGATTGCGCCGACACTCGCCCACGCAAGCTTTCGCGTAAGGCCGCACATCAGCGCCCTCTTCTCCACGCGGTGTGCCACGCTGGAATCCCGCGTAAGCCGCGGCGTAAGGTCGCTGCGTTGTGTCGCGGCAGACTCGTTGGCTCTCGTCGCTCATACGGCTGATGGCACTGCAGGAGGCTCAGCAAGTGGGGCGTCCTTGAGTCGCGGCCTCGATCCTCGAGCCCTCCCTCATCCTTCACGCTCTTCCCCTTCTTTTCCTCATGTCGTCTCCATCCTCAACTCTTCTCCCTCCGCGTCTTCTCTGGGGTAGTTCACCTTGGCACACGACCGCGGTGACATAGATAAGAAAGCCGCACAGCACAACCAAGAGAGAGTGCCACTGCCAACTCAAGACAAACAGATATCCCAACTATGGCACCGCACCTGCACTAACACACCAGTGCATAAGACAACTCTTGAGGAAGGCACTGGCCAGCAAGGGCACGGGCCTGGCGTGTGGCACTGGCCAGCAAGCAGAGCCACTCCGCCAACGCAGCGCGCTTCAAGGAGCATAACCCCCAGCGGCAGCGCAGAAGACGCCGCGGCCGACACCGTGGGCACCGCGACCAGCGGGCCGCCCCGACGAACCCCCCCCACGAGGGCGGACGCGGCGACCGCGGCCCGTGGGCCAGACAGACGGACAGACGGGCGGACCCCGCCGCCCGCACCGGGAGCGCCAGGAGTGTGAGAGGCAGGCGTAGGAGATGGCTGAGAAGCGCCGGCAGGCACCACCAGCCCCAAGGGGAGCAACGCCCGAAGGCGAGTGAGGCAAGGAGCGGAGGAGCGGCCACGAAGTTCTGATCGCTCATCCGTTTTCTCGCGCAGGTTTTCGCGCGAAGAAAAAGATGTCCCACCTCAACTGTTGTCCCTCCTTTCCCCTCCGCTCCCTTCTTCTCCCTTCTCTCCCCATCACTCCTACATCCACCCACCTCACTAGCCGCTGGCCCCCGTGCCGGCCGAGGCAGTCTCTCGCTAATGAGCCGACGGCCTAGGTTCGAGCCTGGCCCGGGAATTCGGCGAATGCACGTGCGCTCGCGGAGAGGGGGGTTGCAGCGGGCCAGAAAGGCCTTCCAACGCCTCTCGATGGATGTTTTCGAGGGAAGGTAATCATACAGAAAATCATACAGAACGGTGAGGACGGCTAGGAGGAGGAGGGGGAGGAGGAAGGTTGGTGCTACGAGCCTGTCCGAGGCATGTTGAAAAGCAACGACGAGGAGTACGAGCACGAAGAAGACGACGAAAACGACGACGACGACGCCGCCGCCGACGACGACAACCACGAGGACGAGGACGTGGACGAGCGCCAGGAAGACGAGCTTGAGCGAGGGGGAAGTGGAGGGGGGAGGGAGAAAGGCAGCAGTAGTCGCACTACGGGATCACATCTCGCTGGCGTCCCAGAAGTCAGGGTTAGTCCCTTGCACCACTGGCATCTGCAGCCACGTGCCGAGTTCGGTCTGGCGAATCGCTCCCGATGATGAACGGTGCAAGCAGCGCCATCGTGAAAAAGCCGGAAAGCCAATGCAGATGGTGTAGGTTGGCAGTTTGAGAGAATCGGCAGATCGTCTCGAGCCATTCTCCTGCTGCGTGCCTCAACAACTACCGTGGTAATCCCCAAGCCAACGCGCTGGACCGAATCGGCAGATTGGCTCGAGCTGGTATGCTGCCACGTGCCACATTAACGGCCCTGGTAATCCAAAAGCCATCGCTGGACAAACGCGGCAGAATGCCTTAAGCCGGCATCCTGCCACGTGCTACAGCAACGGCCCGGGTAATCCCCAAGCCAACGCCGATATATTCCGATGGATGTCAGGGAGACATGGCGGGTTGCGCAGATGTTGCGGCGGCGAATCTGACCGGGACAGCGTGCGAGTTTGCTTCAAAGGTGCATGCAAGGCAGTCCACAGTTCGGTCGGTTCTGCTGGTTCGCAGTCGGTTGCATTCCGTCAGTTCGGTTCGGCCAGATGCCGCGCCGACGCGAACCCCTAGGTTGCATTCGGTCAATTTGGTTCGATCAGTTTCGGTTTCGTTGTCGTTTCGGTCGGTCGTGTTGTCGCCGTGGATGCCTACGACGGCGTGTGACTTTGTTGCGGCAATGGCTCCGCGGAAGGGCTTGCACATTCGCAGCAAGCGTGGACCCCGGACAGTCGCAGCTATTATCATTGTGATGGTATCGCGAGCTTGTCGTCGGAGTCCAGAGTCCTGCGTTGTGCCACCTTGGTGTGCCGGTTCCGTCTGCCTCTCCCATCTCAGTGCCGCTGATGTGGTAATACAGGTTGAGATGATCGACGCAATTTTTCCGTCTCAGTCAATGCTGTCTTGCCCCGCATCCTCTTCCTCCTATTTCTTCCTCCTTATCCCTCTTCCCGAACCAGCCGAGAGACGCATCAGCTCTCCATCCCCTCGCCCTAGGTGTTAGCACGCGCTTTCGGCAGCGCCAGCGCTTGCCCCGTCGAGGTATACGTCCAGTCTGCGACCCCATGCGCGGACGCAGCAGCTAGCTAAGCCATCTAGGCTAGGGTGCCTAGCACGCACTCCGCTCGTCCCCTCCTGCTCTTTGCCCTCCCCCTCGAGGTGTGCTCGCTCGTGCGCACCCTGCCCTAACACCAGTCCTCCTCCTCCTACTCCTCCTCCTCCTCCTCCTCCTTCTCCTCCTCATCCTCCTCATCCTCCTCATCCTTCCTGCTCCTGCTCCTCCTCCTTCCTCCTCCTCCTCCTCCTCCTCCTGCTCCTCCTCGTACTCACTCGTGTGCACCCCGCCCTATCATCAGGCCGATTCCTGCCGGCGGCGGGCGCAAGGGGTGGGGCGAGGGGTGACGCTCCTCCAAGAAGGCGGGGGAGGCGTCTCAGCAGGGAGGAGGGCCTGCTCGGAAAGGCCAAGAAGTTCCTGCGAACGTCTCTTGGGGGCCAGGAGTGCCGAAGCCCCGAGCGCGTTCCACGACTCCTAACGTGCCTACTCGCAAACGTCGAGAAAACAATGTGTGCCTCGATGCGATGGAGCCTCCCTGCCAGTTTGCCAAGGATCCAGGCCGTTTGCTGCGAGTAGCTCATGTGCGAGTGGCGGAGGGCGCTTGTCTAGAGAAGCCCCATGGACTCCTCTCAGAAGCCAGAAGCCTTTGTTGCTTCCTTCGAGGGCCGCCCACCCTCTCGCCACAGCACGCTGGTGGGCGCCGCCAGAGGAGGAGGAGGAGGAGGTGGAGGAGGAGGAGGAGGAGGACGAAGAGGAGGAGGAGGAGGAGGAGGAGGAGGAGGAGGAGGAGGAGGAGGAGGAGGAGGAGGAGGAGGAGGAGGAGGAGGAGGAGGAGGAGGAGGAGGAGAGAGAGAGAGAGAGAACAAAGAAAAGAGAGAGAGAGAGAAACAAGGAGCCGAAGTGAGGGCCACGCTGGGCTCAGGAAGGGCCCCGGTTTTGCGACCCCTCCCTCGAGCCAGGTTGGGCACAGCCGCTCGCGGCTGGGGTTCGCCGTGACCAGACGGGGCCCCCCGCTCTCTGCCGCCAGACCGAGGTCCAAGATCGAGAGGTCGGTTCGGGAAGGGTGCCCCCCCCCCGTGTTCTTCGCGCTTGCTGGATGCTCTTGCACATCCTGGGGAGGGTGCGCCTGGATGTTCTTTCTGTCTGTCTAGACCGACGGAGGGTCTCACTGCTATCTCGAGGGGAGATCGTCTGGCCCAGGTCCGACTGAATCACGGGGAGCAGGCAATGACACAAACATGAACTTTAGGAGGTCCGCGCGGATTTCGCGGATCAGCGCTGGACCTCCCTCCTTGGCGCGCGGAGCGCTCCAGGGGCGGCGCCGGAGGCGCCGCCAGGAGGCCACAGTGCCGATCCGAGAAGTCCGCGCGGACCTCCGCCAGTGCATGTTTGAGTCATTGTGTCTGTCTTTGTTATCCAGCATTCGTCATGGTAGCACGCCGACTCTGCACGCCGCAGGCGCTCCGAGGCGTTCCAGGGCCGTCGTTCCGAGGCAGTTGCGAGCACTGCTCGCCGCCGCCCCGCGCCCCTTCCTCGCACCGCCGCCCCGGGCCCTCGGTTGCACGCCGCCCCGCGCCCCATCCGCCAACGCTCGGCCAATCTCCCAGATCTCGGCGGCAGATCTCTCCCAGCCAGCAGGTCCCCCTCTCCAACAGGGCCGCCTCCGTCTGCTGATGCTCCTCCTCCTGCTCCTCCTCCTCCTCCTCCTCCTCCACCTCCTCAACCTCCTCCTCCTCCTCGTCCTCCTCCTCCAGTTTTGGCTCGCGAGGTGTGCCCCCTGGGTGCCTGCCAGCGCAGGCGAGGGCCCCCCCGCGCGCGCCGAGACTAGCGCACGGCACGACGCCGCCTAGGGAGGCGGCCAGCCATCATCGTGCGCGACTCCGCCGTGCGGCGGACCGCGCCCTGCTGCACGCCTGGGCGGGCAAGGCCACGCCCCGCCTCCAGGCCCTGCTGCGGAGCGCGGCAGAGAGACTCAACGAGCACCACGGCTCATCTTCGGGATCGATGGTGCCACAGCCTGAGGAGCGACAACCACGGGTTCTTCATGGGCCGCGAGAGCCAGCTGCGGCACGAGTGCCAACTGGGCGTGCCGCATCGTCTGCCGCTGCGGCAAGTCGGCCCCATTCCACGTGGTGCAGAAGGCAAGGAAGGCGGCAGAGCAGAAGGCCAAGGAGTCAGGCAAGAGCGGTGCACCTGCAACGAAGGCGCCCTCCAAGTCTGTGGGAGGGACTGGCCTTCGATCCACCCTGGCGCCCTGGGCTCCTGAGGCCAAGGATATTGCCAAGATGCAGAATCAGCTCAAGCAACTCCTTGCCGAGAACAAGAAGCTCAAGAAGTACAACAGCGGCAAGGCCTCGGACATGGAGGTCGACCAAGGTGATGAAGAGGACAACGTGGCGGAGTCCTCGTCGATCGCGCAGCGCACGGAGCTGCAGGCGAAGATCACCAAGTACGAGCAGACCATCAAGATGTACAAGGATGATGGTGCGGATGAGCTGGTGCGCGACCTTCAGAAGAAGCTGGAGGCGACAAAGCTGCAGGTACAGTCGCTGCGCACGCCTGCCATGGCCCACAAGCAGTGCACGCAGAAGCTTCAGCGGGTCCAGCAGCAGATCAGCACGGCGAAGCACGACCTGCAGTCCCTGCAGCAGAAGCAGGAGAAAGTGCAGAAGGAGCTGGACGAGAAGAAGGACTTCTTGGAGGGCAAGCTCGGAGAGGAGCAGGTTCTCACGAAGCAGCTCGCGGGGCACGCGGCGAAGCTCAGCGGGTGCACGGCGGAAGCTGGCATGGAGGTGCCCCCTGACATCCTGCGGCTTGACCCCGAGATCCACCAGCTCAAGTCGGACCCTGACCTGCTGCAGTTCTACAACTCGTTCTCGGCGAACCCCCTCTTCGCCAAGATGGAGGAGGTGTACAGGCAGAACATGGCGGCCAAGCTCGCTCAGGCGAAGTCTCCTGGGCCTGCTCCTGCTCGCGAGCCTGGTGTTCACCACGGGGACGGCGAGCGTCGGGAAGGAGGGGGGCCTGATGCAGATGAGCAGGGACGTCGACATGACAAACGTGAGTCAGCATTCGTGTGGGACAAAGACGACGTTGAGGAGCTGCACCGTGCCGTGCACCAAGGCAAGAGCGAGGGCGACGCGCCCGTCAGCCCCGAGCAGCTCGCCGAAATGGTCGCAAACATCCAGAACACGAAGCATCGCAAGCTCGACAGCGGAGGGGCGGCCAAGACGGGCGGATCCTAGCAGTGTGTGCACCATGGGCGACGAGTGCCAGCCGCGACAGGGCTGAGCGATCGGCGGAGCGACTCGGCAGAGGCATTGGTGCCGAGTGAGGTGAATGAGTCCCACTTCGTCGAGACCTACAACGCGAACCAAGGGAAGCAGACGCTTAAAAAGAGGCTAAGCTGCACCAAGTCCCTAATCGTGCTCGCGCAGGAGATAGGGTACCACGACTGGGAGTGCGAGGCCCTGAGCTCTTGGTGCGCCACCAACAAGTGGAACGTCATGGTGGTGCCTGGAGCCCCGACGGCAGGCGAGCTCCCCGCGGCAGGCCTGGCGATCTTTGCGCATGAAGGCATCGGGCTACGAGGGCCGACATACCCTCCGATGAGCCCTGCAGCACGGAGAT